TTTTAGTGTTTATATGGGTTATTTGGTGTCTCTTGATTGTAAACATGTTATTTGGATCGAAGCACACAGGCACCAGGTTTAACTTGCTCTCAATACACAACATCCCCCTTTCCTTGAATATAAACTTCCCCCAAACTAAAGTTCTCATTCACATTTTCTCACAACTGAAAACAGTTCAGAACGCTTTCCAAACAGGTGCACTAAACCACAACATAACCCTTATTTAATTCCCACCTGCATTAATGTTTGTCACTTGAAAAATTAAAGTTTGAAAAGTTAAATCATAAGTAACCTCCCCTTTAACTTCAAATCATCACCAAGTTGCATTTAATTGTACTTAATTTAAGGATATTTTTTTAAAAACTGAAAGCACAGTTTATTTCATTTATATGTTTGTTCTGTTTTATTTATATGTGCCATTGCTTGTAATTTGATTATTTGTTCCTATTTTATTACTTAGTTTAAACTAATAGCTTTTGGTGTCATAACTTTATTAATACAATACAAAAAACACAACTAGGCTTATTTTATAGGCCCACTTTCTTTTCTTTTACTTTATTCAGTTTTTGTGGTGGACCAGTGAAAATCCTTAAAGTGATCAGGATCCGCTGAAATAGGAGCGTTTCATGACACTTTAAAGTGAAAACACACTTTTGATGGACACATAAATATGAGTTCAGGCAATAAGTGCCTATAATGCCCAAATCTAGTGAGTTTTAACAAGAACTGGTGTAGGCAAAACAAGAAAAGAAAATGAAGACTCAAAATATTTATAAGATTTAGCCTTTTATATATATATATAAAATTATTCAGTTTGGGTGAAAGTATGGCGTAGTATAAAAATAAACTAAAGTAAACTAGGCATAAAATATGATATATAGTCTTAGTGTGTTTAAGCTAAATCAGTTTCACTGTCATCAACATCTCAGAAATATGATTTATGAATGGAGGAATCAGACATTTCTGAAATAAACAGTAATATTCCTCTTTCAGATCTCGTGTAAAACAGTGAAGTGTTTCTCAGCAGAATTAATAAATCTCCATATGCAAATATTTCACTGCAACATAACTGAAATACATGTACAGATCTCACAGACGATCAGGGATATGATCCACATTATAGAGTTTCTCAGAACTCAAACACAGAACAGTTCATTATAAACACAATTAAATATATAGTTTTATGAATGTAGTGAATAGTGTGATAATATAACGGCTCGATCAAAGCTTGTGTGTTGATGAAGATGGAGGTTTGATGATCTGACAGAATTATGATTATTCTCAGATTGATTCATTATTTATCAGCACAATAAACCTGTTTCTCACTTTCTTTAAAACGAGTAAATGAAGTGAATAAATGTTTTACCAGAGACTGGATTCATCTGATGATGATGATGATGATGATGACAATGAAGATGACGAAATATCTATAATCACTTATCTGAAAAATATTCTTAAATCATGGATTAGGAATCAATTACAAGTGATTTCACACACATTTCCCTAATAATCAAATTATTTCTGTCTGTGTATGTGTGTGATTCACCCCAGACATGAACACTCGTGTCCTGCGAGACTGACCCGGTCCATTACTGACATCATCTGGAGGAACACACACACTGCGTTATATATATATAATGTGTGTAGTGTGTGTGTACTGTGTGTATTCACACAGAAGATGACAGTAATGGACCAGTTAGTTCAGTGTTGGAAGTTGTTTTCCAGTGCAAATCTACACATTCAGAAATAAAGTTAGACATTTACAAGAGATAAAAAGAAATATGAAGTCTTGCTTTTGGTATAAGAATAAATATCTGACCAAGGGCTAAAATCCAATCAATTCAAAACACGTTTTCATTACTTATTGACGGACTTGTATTTTTTTTTTTAAGCTAAAACACATTAAAATTTTTCAAGACTTAATTTTGCATTTGCTTTTCAGTAATTGATCTTGAAATAATCATCAAGATGAATCTTGATTTAAAGATGTTTCGATATTTTTATTGGAAACAAGATTAAAAAATTAGGAAGAACATAATTTTCGCCATGCATGTGACGTAACGCCATATAACTTCATAACTCTAAGACTGCTCTGATTTAGACCTTAATTATTATAAGGTGAATTAAGATTAAACAGATTCACACATTATATTCATGCATAACTCCAGTAAGCAGACGATAACAAAGAAAATTAGGTTAAAAGTCACTTATCAACTCAGATGATAATCCAACAAACACTGACGAGAAATAGGGCTAAAACTGACGCATTAATGAAAGTGGAACAACTACACAAGCTATACACGGGTATGCTTTGTACTACAGCAAATTTAACAGAGCTTTGCCAAAAAATAAATATAAAACATGTACTTGGTTGTATAATCACTAACTGTATTACCTCAATAAATTGTGCTGTTACCTCACAGTCCTTAAACTGAGAGTACCCATGATCCTTCATCTGCGGAGAGGATCGACTCAGCGTCCCAATTCGCTTACTTATACTACGCCCTATGTACTCTTTTTGTGAGGAAAAAGTACATACTTTTGAGTGTGTAGCAAAAGAGTAGGCAAGCTTTGGGACATACTATCACGTCATCTTTAGCGGACAGCTCTGTCGCGTGCTGCGTGATCCTGTCACCGTAAACTGCCCTGTCAATCATCTTGTCACAGTTAAAATCCTTCATTCAATCTAATTTTATTTCCTACCGTTTTGGAGAGCACGTTCATCTGCCAGTTGTGGGTCTTTCATGCTCTCCTCGTGTTTGCGATTTGAATGATACATTTAAAACGTAATGGCTAAACGTGTCTTTACAAAAGTTGACAATGCTGCTGCAAATGCAATATAATGTGGACAACATTGAATAAATTCATTTTCGTCAGGTTAGATACTGATAATTAATCACTGAAAGCCTGAAAACCTCTCGACAACCGCGGGCACTCACGCGTCCTCCGTATTGACTACGAGTCTGTAGTTTTTTAACATTTTTACTCGTGTTTGTAGTTCTAGCCGAATCCTCGTCCAACGCGCAATGGTTTGTGGGCAATATCAGAGTGTGCATCGATCTACACTTCGGATTCTGACCGGAAAAAGTAGACCATCTTTGAAACACAAAATGTTGAGCACGTCCAGCCATAACTGTGCAAATGGAAAGACGACAATATTTAGATATAACGTTTAGCAGCAGAGGCATAACTTGTACAAATGATAATTATTTACCTGCAACATATTACGTGCCAGCTTGAGCATGTGGCAAGCGTCCATCATTACAAAACCTTTCTCTCCAGTCAGCGGATGCAAGAAACTGGTTTGAAGCGGCTCTCGTGAGTCTCCCTTCAGCTCACACCCCAGTTGGTTGCGCATGCTGACATTGGAGGCATCACCATCCATTGTGACACATACCACCCTAATGTAGTGATGGGCAGATCGAGGCTTCGTGAAGCAATGAAACAGTTGAAGCAAATGTGCTTCGAATCAAGCCGACACCCGTCTCCATGGCGACACCTAGTGGTCAATTGCAGGTGTTCATCTGAAACAACCTTTACAACGAGCCATTTAAAAATGTGTTGTTTTGTATTATTGTATTTTTTTAATATCTTTAATATCTTAATCTTCTTGTAACCTGTAGTCTCTTCACATTGCATAATGTTATTTTGGTCATGAAAAATGATTATTAATAAAACAAATCAAGCCACAATGTCTCACTTTCTTATAGATTTTTATTTAAAATATTCATTTCTCTGCTGTTCTTTATATTAATCTGTATATGTCTATATATGGTGGTGGTCTTTTAGTCAAAAACATGCCTGTCCTGACCAGTTACAGTGGCGTAGATCGTAGAGCGTTTCATAAAACAGCACAATACTTTAAGAATAGGCATTCTGTGTGCACTATATATGTACTGTTCTCCTTGCATGTACAGATGCAATTTAACAGCCAGCCAAACTCCATCCATAAAGTACAGATGAGTCAGGATTCATCTTAGTCTTTGCCGTTTAATAAGATGCCAGGTACATTATGAATTAGGAGTAAAACTGTAAATAATAGCAAATAAACAATAATCAGAACAATAATACAATGACTGAAACTCTTATCTGACGACATGACAAATTAAATCAGTGTCATCAATTCACTTATGGAATTATCAGGTAACAAAGAAAATAGCAACAAAGATAGATATTGATTCATATAGTGATGTTATCACATGAAAGTAGAACGGAATCAACACATTATATGCTATGTCAAAGGAAGGCTAGGCTAATAGCTAAAGGCTATCACAAAAATAACATTAAGTCAAAGCTCCAAATAAACTTATCGCAAATATAAGCAAATATATATCATCAAACATTATGCAATGAAGAATTAACTTACAGATGATGCTTTTACAAACACAAAACAAAGGATGGCTTCGAAAGATTGAAGAGAAGCTGACTGCATGAAATGTGGTCACTTATATTTCTAGACAACTACCACAGGGGGGCGCCAGAACTAAACCAACTATACAAAACAATTCAAGTGACAATTTAACTTGAAGCAGAACAATATATTATATATATATTGTTTTTTTCATATATTTTTTACGGCTCAAAATCTTGTTACAAACTATCTTTACAAATATAAAATGGACTCATATGTTGTATCGATGAGCTAAATTAGTTTTATTAAAAAAAAACAATCAAAGCGTTTGTCATATGGTGCTATGTAGAACCACAAGAGGTGCCATAGAGCACGTTAACCACCCCAGAGAACCACTGAAGAACCTTTTTTTAAAGAGTGTAACCTACAACTACACACAGGTATATGCACAATAATAAGCAGAGAACAAATGTCACATCCAGTTAGGCTTTATTATTGTGATAATGACCATCTGACTTCACAGATTTACATCAGAAAACTGTTGTATGACATGGTTTATCATAATATGAATAATTACAACACATTTGATCTTGCGGTTCTTCTCGTCTTACAGCTGATTTAGTTGATCTGTGTGAGTTTTGGGTTGAGGTCACCTCAATCACAGCAGAGCATGATGACGTCATTGAGAGCGGTGTCGTCTCCACTTCCCTGTGGGTCTTCCACCCGTGTCTTGAGGCCACAGATTCCTTTTCCTGGACACGTCGGGCTCCAGTCGCCCCAGTTGCCCCAGTCGCCCACGCGGCTCGGAAAGGTACTCCACAGCTCATCACCTCCACTGCACCTAAAACTGGAACATTCAGATGGACAATATTGAGAAACGTTACTGTGCCGTCACATGATCACCTACAGCAGCACGACTGCCAATCTGATCTTCACTAAACTACTGATAGGGGGCGAACCGGAGTCCTTAAACTGCAAAAAAGATGGTATAAGAGGTTTACACGTTATAACTTACAGCACCACACACTCACTTGATGTTGTTAGCGGCCGTATCGTCATCATGTCCTTGGGGAGATTCGACTTTCAGCTAGAAAGCGTTCAAGTATCCAGTATGACACCATTGTGGTAGTCCCCAATCACCCCAGCTGAAGAAAACACAAGGTTGCCTGATCAAATCTATTATTATTCAAGAAAATCCTCAATTTGCTTAAATGCAAGAATTATCCTTTACCTTCCTGCTTTGGACTCAATTGGGGTGTCACACGATCCTGTGAAACCTTTGGACCGATCAACACAACAAAGCTGAATGGAGTTGAGGCCTGTATCGTCACCGGCAAGCTGCATTCGTTCAATCTAAAAACAACAGTGAGACGATCAGTAAACGCTAACCCAGGGGTCGTCGAGGTCAGACGCCACAGGGCCCTCATTTAAAACACATCAAACGTGAAGGGCCACAAATTACAGCTTGTATCGCAAGACTTTGACATTATAGTTTTTACTTAATTAAGAAACGCAGTTTAATACCCCTCTCGCTAGTCTTTATGCTAATTAAAGTAATCGAATACTGATATGAAAATAAAATAACCCTGGAGCAGTGGATTGACAGTTTAAAATAATAATGAGATTTTTATGACATGTTTTTATACTCAGGGTCGCTTTACAAAGTTATTATTCTTAGTCTACAACTAATACAAGCCCACTATTAGCCCTGTACATCTAACTCGAACTAACATTAATCATTATGCTCTTTAGTATTACTCAGACACTTTAAAGATCTTAACAGCAACTGCACAGTTTTAATCCTTGTATGCGCTCATCCCCTCTCAATATTAGCAAAACTAGAGTCAATGCTCAACTTACCTTCATATTAAACCCTGCGGCGTACTTTCCACTTGGACACTTGGTATAACTGGTCGCCCACGATCCCCAGACCCCTCCATTCGGCACCTTCAGCTCAGACTCGCCGCTCACAGGCCCAATAATGGCTAGCAGTGAAAACAGCATGGACAAGAAGTGATGCATTGCTACAGCACTGGCCTAAACACTGACTTATATTAAATTAAATTGAAGTTCACTATCTGTAGAGACCAATAAAACAGGTTTCACAGCATTCTCAAGTTTATTAAGGAGGAAGCCTCATATTTATACACAAGATTAAGCAGAATCATTAACCATGATGTCCTTTCCATCCAATCACAATAATCAAACATCAACCCCTACCATATGTGGCATATTAAGAAATTATGTTTTATTAACAAAGTTCGGGAGGAGCACGTTCAGATAATTAACCCTAATTAAACACATGTGCAGCACATTCAGATAATCAAACCTAATTAAGTGGAGCACATTCAGTTATCTCATATCTCTATTCAGTCATATATGTATATATGATAATCACGCTGTAAGTAACCCCTAAATCTAGAAGGTAGATCGAGGCTTCGTGACGCGATGAAACAGTTGAAGCAAATGTGCCATATTGTGTCGAGGCTCAGCGGTGACACCTAGTGGTCACTTGTAGGAGTTGATCTAAAACAACCTTGACAACAAACGAATATAAAAATGTTTTTATTTCTTATCATTGTAGCTGTTTTTCTAATATGTGAAGCTTGTAACCTGTATGCTCCTCACTGTGCAGATTGTTATTTTGGTCCTGACAAATGAATAATAAAATAAATTAAGCCACAATGTCTCACTTTATTCATTATCAATATCATTATCAAATCATTATCAGTGTCTTACACTACTGCAGTTTCTCAATACCAAGTACGCAGACTTCGGACTTGCGTCTTGCCAAGTTCGACTGGGGAGAACGAACTCCCGAGGACGAGAGGACGCAAGTCCGGTCTATGCTTCTGCAACTGGAACAGAATGTAGGCCTACTTGATCGCGTCACTCAGCAGCACGCTCTACTCCGGTTATCTCTTTATATAGCCTATATTTTTGGTAACAATAAAACGAAATTTGCTACAACTCTGCATCTTTTCGTAAACAATAAAATGAAATATGTTTTAAAACACCACTCTGCCTCTTTTCATTAACAAAAAAAACAAAATATTAGCCTAATGGCCACGTGGTTCAGGCAACGCGATTCTCTTCACTGCGTATATTTATAACAAAATGAACATGATCTTTTAAAAATATGAAACACTTATTTTTATTGACATTTATCAAACAGAGACAGGGTTATGTCATTTTATTTTATTGCTCATATAGTGAAGATAATATTTAAAAAAGTTAAATAGCCATAAAGTTATGAAACCCCAAAAACTTTTTTTTTTTTTTTTTTTTTTTTTTTTTTTTGCCATGGAACAAACTATAGTTCAGTGAGAGCAAAGATAGACTTATACACAAGACGAATTATTATACGTCCAGGTTTATCCACTAGACTGCCGGCGGCAAACGTCAGAAGTACTAGCCGAGGGCCGTTTCTCAATATGCTTTCTTGTCTGTACTACTTGTGTTCGTGGACTTGTGAAACGTCATCAGTCGCGGGACCATGTGCGATCTCTTGTGTAGTAGCCTTGTCTGGCCAGAGGATGTCGCCATTATTTCTTCTGTAAACCGCTTTTAAAACAGTTTTATGGAAACTGGTTAGTGAAATGGGTAAAACTCTTTATATCTTTATAAGGAACAATATTTATGTAATTGGAGATTATGTTAAAGGGGCATAGCAATGTCAATTGAGATATTTATGTTTGATGAGCCAGATTTGCATTATATGTGTGGATTTATTATTATTCATGTTGCATAATAATTTAGTACTGGAACTGTTTAAAGGGATACTCCACTTTTTTTTGGAAATAGGCTCGTTTTACAACTCCTCCAGAGTTAAACAGTTGAGTTTTACTGTTTTTGAATCCATTCAGCCGATTTTCTGATATTTAGAAGAATGTCAGTAACCAGACAGTTTCTGGTCTCATATTAGGAAAAAATATATACTATGGAAGTCAATGAGACCAGAAACTGTCTGGTTACTGTTATTCTAATAAATATCAGAAAATCGGCTGAATGGGTTCAAAAACAGTAAAACTCAACTGTTTAACTCTGGGGGAGTTGTAAAATGAGCCTATTTCCAAAAAAAAAAAAGTGGAGAACAATGTAAAAAAATATTGTTGGTTTAACTTAAAACCTGGGTTGCCTTGATTTTAAGTTGATTGAACTGGAAAAAGTGAGCTAATATAATGAAGGAGATTCATTTAATCATCGGAAACTCAAAATTATATGTTATCTTGATTAATCACAACATTTTTTCTTTTGTCAAATCAACTTAAATAATTGATTTAGTTGAGATAACATATAATTTTGAGTTTCCGATGATTAAATGAATCTGCTTCATTGTATTAACTCACTTTTTCCAGTTCAATCAACTTAAAATTTTAAGGCAACCAGGTTACTTACTTTTTTAAGTTAAACCTACAATATTTTTTACAGTGTACTGGAGTAATGATGTAAGTAGCGCAAACACACACAAGCGCGGAGTGATACAAACAGTAAAAATACTTAACTGACGACAGAACACGACGTTACACGCTCGTAGTTTCTTTCTTCTGATTTCAACAATCAGAGGCAGCAGCAAAGCCAAAGCACAATAAAATTTACATTTTACATTACATTTAGCTGACGCTTTTATCCAAAGCGACTTACAATTGCTATAAATGTCAGAGGTCGCACGCCTCTGGAGCAACTAGGGGTTAAGTGTCTTGCTCAGGGACACACTGGTGTCTCACAGTGGATTCGAACCCGTGTCTCTCACACCAAAGGCATGTGTCTAATCACCACCCCAAGGCAACTCATGGTTCTGGAGGATTACATAAGCTATTGTCCAGTTTCATATTTGTCATTCAACTTTTCTAAATACATTCGGGGCTGCACTCGAACCATTCGTGGCTGAAGCCCTGGCAAAACCGCCTGACGCCACACGTCACATGTACATACGCCAAAAGAGTTCATCTGAAAGGGTTATTTCACCTAAAAATGTAAATTCTGTCATGAATTATTCACTGTCATGTCATTCTAAACATGTAAGACTTTTGATCATCTTCAAAACACAAATGAAGATATCTGTAATAATATCTTGAGAGATTTCTTCCCTCTATTAACAGCTATTGACAACTATACACGGGCCCAGAAAGGTATAAAACCATTCAAGTAGTCCATCTGACTCCAGTGGTGTAACCTCAATTTTGTGAAGAGACGCATATGCTTTATGTGAGAAAAAAGTCTTTATTAACAAAAAATAAAATCTCCCAACGCACGTTAACCAGAGCTCCATGACGCGTGTGTTGTGTTGACACAAGAGCAGACGTTCTCACACATCCTAGAAACACCAGTTTTAGAAAACAAACCAAGACCTAAAGCAACATAAATGTAGAATTGAATAAACGAAGCTTGCATACAGCATCTCTCTTTCCCTGGTTTTAAACAGTGCAGTGAGGACGTCTGCTCTCGAGTCAACACGCATGCGTCATGATGCTCTCGTGAACGTGCATTGGTAGATTTATTTGTTTGTGAATAAAGACGTCTGTGGCAAGATATAAAATGGTCTGTGATATAAAAGCACACTGGTTTTCGGAGTCGAGAGAGAGATCTCTAACCAGTGTGCTTTTATACTGTCTCAGAAAAAGGTGAAACTCACTTTGTTCTTCACTTTCTCACCGCTCATCTCCTGACTCGTTCTTGCTGACTCCACTGATGTTCATTCTGTTTGTTACACACAGAGCACTCGTATCGCTTATCAAATTGAGCTTAAAGCACTGGAATCACATGGGATACTTTAATGATGTCTTTACTACCTTTCTAGGCCTTGAAAGTGCTCGTGATTGAGGCCGTCAATAAAGGGACAGAAAGCTCTGATTTCATTTAAAATACCTGGAGGTTTCTAGTAATCTTGACGATCTGGTTCAGATATGTTTAAAGAGCCCCTATCATGGATTTTTGAAAACGACTGTTCATGTGGTGTGGCTCTAAGGGAATGAAAACATCCTGCAAAGATTTATATCTGAAAGTGCACCGTATATAAAGTTATTGTCTTTCAAAAGTGAGAGTCGACTCTGAGTCTATGAAATGAATTGTTTTTGAAACGAGTCATTAGCTGTTTCGTAGTGACGTAGATTCATATTGGCCGTAAACTTGAAGTCTACACATTCAAATACTTCATCATAGCATCATGTCGAGAAGACGCTGCGTTCTACAATGCAAAGATAGTTCAGCCACTTGAGCATGTGAAGAATCGGTGGTTATTACCGGTAATAGTATCAAATGAGACATTTGCATCATAATAAAAAAATATGCAGAGGTAAATGATCAGAAAGTGTCCCACTTTACCAGTATTCACCCCATATACATATTTAACATCAGAAATACTCATAGTTTGGTTTTCCGCTATTAATGTTGTTTTTTCTGACTAGACTCTGCGTGTTTTTCTGTTCCGGTTCATTAGATTCACTTTTTGTGTTTTTTTGTTCACCATTTTTCTCTCTCTTGTCACGTTTAATTATGTTGTAGTTTGTGAAGCTCAATAGGCCTAAGTTACATGGAGAATACGGTTCCTTCATTAATGAAGAACTACACAAGAACCAATGAGTAACACAATATTAACAATCTAGTAACTATTATTAACTAACAAGAAACTCTGATTAACGAACTAGTAAGTAATAGCGCACAGACGAAAGTGGTAGTTCACTATTAAGTAATCAATAACTACTATTTTTTAATACTTCCCAGAGAACTACTGAAAAAGTTTATTAACAATCTTGTAACTACTATTAACTCAAACAAACTCTGATTAATGAATTAGTAAGTAATAGCTCACACATTAAAGTGTTACTAGATACTTCTAATTACCAATTATTTGGATCCGTATTATAAAGTGAAGATAAACTAGTAATGACTCAAGTGAGTCATTTGTGCAACCAAACACTCATTACAGTCATTTCAATGACATTTTACAGTCATTTCAAGCGTTTTTTTCGGTGAACGTTACATACTAACACTTGAGTCATTAGTTATTTCCAATGATCTTCACTTTATAATACGGATCCAAATAATTAGTATAAGTAGTAACACTTTCACCTTGTGAGCTATTAGCTATTGTGAGTTTATTTGAGTTACTAGACTGTTAATAAACTTTTTCAGTAGTTCTCGGAAGTATTTAAAAAAAGTAGTTATTATAGTTAATAGTGAACTACCACTTTCGTCTGTGCGCTATTACTTACTAGTTCGTTAATCAGAGTTTCTTGTTAGTTAATAATAGTTACTAGATTGTTAGTGTTACCGGTTACATGTTCTCCATTCTGTAGACTACTTTCTCATATATTTTGACTTTAGTAATATCTGTTTAAAATAATACAGTGCTTAAGTTTAAAATCAGTTAATGATTGTTGAGCAATACAGGTTTACATTTCAGTTTCACTAAAATAGAAACACAAATGTCTGTGTAACCCTTGACATTTATATCCTGTTTCAATAGCTAACTGTATTTCTTTAAAACTTGTTACTGCCCCTTTAAGAGATAGGTTAGGGTTAGGCAAACCTAAACCACAGCAAGAGCGCGCAGAAAAAAATGTGCCTGCAATGTCATATTGGAATGGACTTTTTGATAATTTAAATTGGCAAAAAATATGGTCCATACAACATAGGTTTCTCCTCACAAACAAAATCAAAGAAATATCCTTTAAATTAACTCATAATATTTTCCCAGTTAAAAATTTCCGATCTGATTTTGACACAAATTGCTCTTTCTGTCAGAATGACACTGAAACTCTTCTTCACTTATTTTGGTCATGCAATTTTACTCGGAGACTTTGGAAAGAAGTTTATCTCGTGCAATATCTGGAAGAATTTCTCCATGAATCCCAAAACCGTTATTTTTGGGGGTTTTTTTTAAGCTGATTCAAATGCCTGCTTTATTATAAATCTACTTATTTTCTTGTGTAGATTTTATATTCACAAGTGTAAGTTTTCAAATTGTAAACCAATTTTTCTGGTGTTCTTGCATGAGATAAAATATTACTTCACACAATTTCTTCCTCTCTTAACCCAAAAGCACTCAAAACATGTAAAATTTGTAAGTCCTACAAACTTTTTACTTTATTAAATGTTTAGATTTATTTTCATTTATGTATTGCCCTCTTTTTTATTTTTTATTTTATTTGTTATTTCCTGTTTATCGTTGTCTAATTTCTTTTTTTGTGCTATTATATTGTTGTTGTTATTATGTTGTTTTACTCTGTAAACTGAATGTTTAAATAAAGCATTTAAAAAAAAAAAAATGTGCCTGCACGGAGAAACACTCATAGCATGGGAGTAATTTTGACTTGCTGACTAAAATGATGAGAACACAATCGGGCTATACTGTTGTGGTATCGTTGCAAATATGAACTCTAACCAGGTATATAGCTTAAAGGGTTAGTTCACCCAAAAATGAAAATGAAGTCATTAATTACTCACCCCCATGCTGTTCCAACCCCGTAAGACCTTCGTTCATCTTCGGAACACAAATGAAGATATTTTTGATTAAATCTGAGAGCTGGATCACTACCACATTGGCTGCCTAAGGGACTGGCTCTTGACGGCCCATAAACTCATTAAAGAAAATGTTTAAATATCCCATGTGACTACAGTGGCTCAATTATAAGTTTATCAAGCGATGAGAATACATTTTGTGTGAAAAAACAAACAAAAATAACGACTTTATTCGACTATTGCTTTTCTTCCTTGTTGGCCTGAAACGAGACTTCAATACGATTTCCACGAGAATTGCGATCTCCTTCAACTAGTTCAGTTCAGTTCTCGTGCATGCGTCGTGGAAATCTAAGGTCGTGGAAATTTAAGAGCTGTTTTGATTATTTTTAATGATTATATAATGCAAGTTTAAAGGTTTCAAGTACGTGAACTGTCTCCTGTGCATACTAGTAAAACACTAGCAATTTCTCAGCAGTGCCATTAATGGGAATTAAAGCGAGGTTGTGAGGGATGGACATACTTCTCTTCAGTGGATTGCACTGTAATGTGTTTTTGGACTGGACTGATGACGCAAAAATAATAAACCTCCAGAAAATATGAGCTGTGGAAATAAATGATGGAGAAAGCAGCTTTTTACTAGCCTGGTTCAACCAGACTCTAGTTCATTTCATTTCTGAAGTAAAATGAAATTGAGCGGAAGTGCGTAGGAGGGCGCAGCCAGGCTAGCTTTTTACAGCGATGCCATTGGAAACATGCTGATTAATTATCAGTGTTGTACAGTTTTATATATTTCATTACCTGAGAAGATGACCTTTCAGGACTCTTTAATGAATAAAACGTTTTAAGAAAGAACAGCTTTTATTTAAAATAGATATCTTTTGTAAGAATATTAGCCTACCTGTTTTTCTTTCTTACTTTTTGGGGGAATAAATTAATACATTTAAGCAGTAAATTGTTTTTTTTTTTTTACAAGTCACTACTTTCACAAACCAAATGAATGTTTATAAAAATAAATCCTTTCACAATGCAATCAACATAAAACCTGACCTTTGCTTCTGTCGTCCTTCATTTTTATTTATTCTGGCCATCATTTAATCCGCCTGCTCTTGCAGGGAAAAAAAAGATGTATATATGGTGTGTATTTAGGATATGTTTTGGTACTGTTTTGCCTTGATGAGGGAGAAAGGGTTTCCCTTCTTTCCTTTCTCATGTTTTCATATATGTACTTATATTCAGAATTGTTATTGAGTGTTATGATAATGTGTAAGGAAGCAACTATTATTGTTTTGTTTTTCCTGTTTTTGGTAACCGGGGTGGGTTCAAACAAGTTTGACTTCTATCCACTCCGTTTCGAGCAATAGATTTAGGTTTTGTTAAAGTCGATGTAAATATTATGAATTTAAAGGCTTGTACAGATTAACCAAAATGCTGCGTATTGCCTTGTCATGTGTAACTACATATTACTCGAAATAAACAAATAAAAAAATAAAAAAATAAAATAAAAATAATAAAAGCAAAGCTGATTAATCTTGTCTTCATATATTCAGGGTCAGTTCTGTCGTTCAAACTCTTAGTGGAGGGAATTTCAGGGTCAAATCAAACTCTGTGAACACCAACAGAGCCTTACAGTTTTTTACAATCACTTTGTTACTATTTTCAGAACCATGATGTCATTTTTCACAACTCTAGACACATTGATACACATACAAAATACAAAAATACAAAAAACACATTGATGCAGTAGGTACAAAACTATCGGTTACTTGTGTGTGTGATCTATGTTTCAATGGTATTTCACACTAAATTTGTTTTCAATGGTATTTCACACTACTGTTTTGAGTTTTGTGTCTAGTTTTGAAATGGATGTAGGCTCATAGCTATAATTTAGAAACCTTAGAAATATGCGAATCTATTTATGATCCAGGCAGGGCTGCCACCTGTTGAGTTTAGCTTGTTGTGAGAAATTGAGAATCATGAATGAAACACATCCACATACAGTAAACCACATCTGCACTTGTATGACGTGCATGTGTTGCCTGCGGTCTGATGTTAGACTCGGCTCGCGGAAGGATAGACAATCACGGGTGGGTTTATACGGTTTATACCAAGGTTAAAGGGGTAGTTTTTTACTGTAAATAGTAGCCTATATACTGGCTTGATGTTATATGCCGACGTCTCTAAAGTGTCAGTTCCGAGTTCGCGGAGTGAAGTGCTTCTGGGAGTCCTTAATAACGGCAGGTAAGAATGGAGCAAGTGCATGTACAACTGTTGTTGATTTGCTCATTTATCCACATCTACGTGTGGCTTACTTTTTGATACTTCGAACGCTTTTTTGATTAAGATTGTTAAACTTCTTGCGGCATGTCTGCGACGCAACACTTCACTTTTCTACATAATGCAGAATTAATAATCGTTGCGGTTGACGCGTGTGAAGAGTTGTGTTTTACACACATAGCTGAAGCAGATTAATACACTGGATTAATACAAAATGTGTTCGCTGAAGAATACCTTTGTGGTCTTGCGTTCTGGTTTGGTTAATGCTGGCACAGTGAACACACGCGCGCGCTCCGTAATTCATTGTGCTCTCTCATCAACCAGACCTCGAACAAACCCAAAGAACGCAAGACCACAAAGGCTTGTGCCATTAAATCTAATCTTCAGCGATGAAAGCGTCACGTTCATGGTTTTAAACAGATTGGTGCGGTTGTGTTCATCACAGATTTGTAGCTAATAATCGAGTTCCAGCCGGATTTATTGAACACATTCTTCTTTGACGGACTGTGTCGCTTTATTGTGTGTGAAGAGTTTATTAAAATGCACCACATTTGTTTTGCTACTACATGCAAACTCGTCGTCTTTCTGCATCATTCATCTTTCTGAAGGAGAAAGTGTCGTTCTCTTGAGTAGCAGTTGTGAAGAAAACAGGAGCTGTTTGTGGTAAATAGGGTGACACCAGTAGCGCCTTTAATGACAATGTAAAATAACATTTCTCCTGCTTAGCATGCAATCCTGAAGATAGGCTATATCCAAGCAGTGAGCAGTAGTGCATCTTTAAGCATATTCATGTCTGAATGTAATACGCTGATCTGTAGCTGAGAGTGCATCAGATTAATGCTTGATATTAATTTATTGCTTAAACTTATTAAAGTTTTGCCTTTCTAACTGCAGGTTGTCATTGTACATTGAAATAATCTCATGATGTACTCCATTTAATTTTTACAGAAAAAAAGCTGTAAAAACAAGAAGACAGGAAAAAATGGAGGAGACACAATCCAGTGAATCACGAGAGGAAAGAGGACAAATGCTTGTCAGATGCGAGAGTATGGAGAGAATAAAGCCAAGCTGTGAGTGTTTGATCATTATACTCATATATTGCTCTTAAAACATAAACCCAAAGTACTGAGGATAATCTGATATATTTGTGATTTCTAGTCTCCTGTGATCCAGACGGGCCTGTAAAGAGTGATTCAGTCAAAACTGAGGAGAGATTCTCATCAAACCCTTCATCATCATCATCATCTTCATCACCATTGTAACGACTGAGACCATCAGACACTAAAGCCCACTGTAAAGAGAGCAGAAAAGGCCTCAATCGTCCGGCGCCCGTCAGATAAGATGGTTTTATTGGAGAATGTGGTCATGTGATCAGACCGAGGCCATGGGAAAGACAGAAACACATCTTAAAACAGACTTTCCTGCAGTAATGTAGAAGAACTGATCTATAAATGAACTGAAAGCTTCACCTTCAAACAGAATTACTGACTAATTCTACAATATGTGTTTAATACATGGTTAAAACTGACAGCTAGTCTATTGATGTTCATATGTGATATTTTAAGATTGCATGACATTATCTGAAACCTTGAGTTTTGGTGAATTAAAGGAACATGCCGATTTCAGCTGATTCAGTGTATCCCCAGAGGAAGGCATTTGTAAAAGCCTGACACAGGAGATCTTTGTGAAGTACAGCAGCTTCTGAAACTCTGAGTTATTTTTCTGAACATGTCAACAAGAGAAACTTCCTTATTATCAGTTTCTGAATCCGTTACTCACACAAAGTCACATCAAGCCTGTGTCTGATGACTCAACCGTTGAATGCTGGAATAATGTGAATAGGATAACACAAACTTGACATCATATTTTGCTCTGCTCATTTAATAAAGACTGTGAAAATTCTTGTGTACGTTTCATGCATCTTTATTTAGGATTTATGTATATTACATATTTTGTATATATTTTTGTATCTACATTTTGTACGACAAAGCTAGACAGAAATCTGCCGTTGTATTTTGAATTGTTCGGTATATTTCATCTGGACAGTTTACATATTTAGTTATGCAAAACTCAAATATTTAGTTATATTTTCATATTTAGAAATTGATTTAATTAGAAAAAGCATTTAATTTCCATCACACTTTCAGTTAATAACAAAATATGAAACATTATTTATGACCCACAAAAGCAGCACACTTGAAACTGTCTCGCTTTAGGCCTCTAAATGTAAAGTTACAATTAAATGTATTTCAAACTAAATTAAAGATCATCTGTGAATATAAATGTATGCAATCTTTGATATATTTATGTGAATAAACACCATTCTGCCGTTATATTGTCTGTGAAAGTGTGTTTAAATAAGAGAAAGTGTGTCTGAGAAATGCTTCTGTTTTTACCTTTCGAGATGTTTGACACTGAAACACAAGAGATGAATCTGGACCCGGTTATATTACTGGACCAGTGTTATTTTAAATATATAATAGGCTACGCTTTATGAGGATAAAACTACTTTTAGAGAGAAGAAATAGTTCATGACACGATTTTAAGGTGATGAAAAACAGAAAATAAGAAAAGAAAATGTGGATTAATTATAAGTACAATATAATAAATTAAATGCCATGTAAGATAATTAAGACAGTTTCAACTTGTTTTAAAGGGCACCTATTATGGAAAATTCACTTTTACATGGTGTTTGAACATAAATGTGTGTTGGCAGTGTGTGAGCAAAACCACCCTGGACTGATAAAAATCCACCCAGTGGTTTTTTTACAATCTCAATAAATCATCTGCACTGCCTCAGAACGAGCTGTTCTAAGATTCAGATCTTTGTGACGTAGAACGGGAGACAGGGGTTTGATTGACAGTGTGGCTGTGGCCTAGACCCCGCCCTCGGTGATCTGTACACAGCCTGTAATGTCTCTTGGAAACATAACTTATCGACTCGTGGGTTAATCCTGTTGTTGTGGCTTAAAAGTTAATCCTCAAGTGTGGATCGTCATCTACTGTTTACGATCCACCGTCACCTCCAGTAACAGTAAGTGTATTTTATGATTTTTGAGCAAATAGTTTTCAGTCGATGTCAGCCAATTCAACAACAAAAGCGTCTAAAATTGTTGTCGTCGTAGAATGTCAGTGTATATAATTTAAACCTTGTTTGTATAGTGTGTAACCACACGTTTATAAATATATATTTTTAAAGATATTGTATTAAAAACCGCATGTGTTCTTGTTCTGTAAGTTAGCCATCTTCTCACATTTGCCACAGAAGCACCTGTATGACAAGTAAACATGACGCCACAGCTCCCTCGCATAAATGTAATTTCGCTTGTAAGTTACGTAGCAAATTTTATCACAGCGTGTATGTAACGTTAGTTTTAAAAAAATGCGCCAGCGTTAGTGTTTGTGTGTCTGTGTGTGTGTGTTGCTCCTCCATACTTGCAAAGAGGACGCAATTACAACTCTGTAAGTACATAAATGTATCAAATAACCATACCGAGACGTACTGGTCCATTCTCATTTGTGTTTATTCTGCCGGAGTCTCTTTGTGCTGTTTATATATTCCGATTCACACGTACGCTGAATGACAGACAAAATAGCGCGTCTCTCACTCTCCCCCTCTGCTTACCGACGGCCATAGGTTTCAAGTTACGCCCTCATCCAAAGGCAGGGCGGGAATATGCAGCTCATTTGCATTAAAGTGGCAGGCCTCATAACAGCTCATTTTCAAACAGGCCCCAAAATGACATTTTCAAAGGGTTATAATAAATTAACTATGGGGTATTTTGAGCTGAAACTTCACAAATACATTCTGGGGACAACCGAGACCAATATTACATCTTGTAAAAAGGGGCATAATAGGTGCCCTTTAACTTGCTTCAACTTCAATTCTGTGTTTTAATTTGATTTACTTTATTAATCCCCTGGGGAAATATATCATATATATAGATTAATTAATCTTGAGCTGTGGGTATACTCACAAAAGCTCGAGATATTTCAGAGGATTTAGAGGATGACCGTCATGATTAATCAGTGTTTATTGCTGAATATTTCTGCTCTGAAAAAGAAAAGCAAATCACACACAGAAAAAAAACAAGATCAAACTGAAAGTGAAATGGATTTTGTTTCAAGGATTATTCGGTGTTAAATAAAGAGCACTAAACTACACACACACACACACACACACACACACACATGAACCACTGCAGAACTAATAAACAGATGATCATACATCTCTGCATATGATCATAATCATCAGTAATGCTGTTATGAATGTTGATATCCGTGAACACAGGCCTCAGATCAGTTCAGATGTTTAGATCAGAGAACTGAACTAGATTCAGTGTTGAATCTCAATCCTTGTGCATTACAGTTTTTGCCCACTGCTTTAACATATTTTGCAAAATTTCGCTCATTGTGCCAAAACTCTACACACAAGTAAACGTGACACAACACTGGGAAATATACCGTTCACATCTGTGTCAAATTGAAACTCTACGATCAAAACCTAACATTCCTTTGTCAAAATGTAACTCTGATGACAAAATGACACATACTTGCACCTTATGCTAACACTTTCAGATCAGAGGGAACACACTAGTCTACTTTATATAAAACACTGCAGTCTTTGATTTTGACTGTTTATTCAGAAGGCATATTTTCAGGAGGAACATTTTCAAACAACCAAAAAAGCAAACAGGCCTTCTCAATATTGTACATTGCAGCTCTGTACATTTCAGTAAGATAAATTCAGATAAAGCAATAAAATATATATACAGTAATACAGTAATACTGTAATAGAAAACAACACTATATATATTACAGTATACATACATTATGGAGAGCATCTAGAAATGTGATGTTGGTTGTTGTATGCAGTATAGAGCATATTGCTGCACTATAGTAACACCCATACAGAACCCTCACCCCATCACAGGTACCTGTGAAGCTCTCCAAATGGATCCATGTGGTCCTGATATGGTACATATTCAGCTGGTACTGGATTTCACCATTACTGTATTGTACATGTAAACGACAGTTACACTTACCCGTATATATTCAGCTCGAAGCCCTTTGACCCTGTCACTGTTCCTCTCAAATGGGGCTCTGTAGAGCTGCTTCATGGTGATGCTGTGTTTCCCCAAGATGCGTCTGATGTTGGTGATCCTCACATGGTTTATGTTGTTGAACACTATTCTGTCTGCAAGTATTTTCTGGTGGAGACGGATGGCTCTTACAGTATTGCTTTCCAAAGTATTGCCAAAGTTGATCTTACAGTATATCATCAGAGTCCATGCATGGCCTCTTCGACCTTGACCTCCTCCTCCTCCTCTTCCTCTTGCTCTCCCTCCCTCTATCCATGCTTGCAAAGTTCTTCAAATGGCTAAACTGAGGGCTTTTTGTAGCTGGCTGATTGGTGTTCAGTTTTGCAATTAAGTGCCTTCGGGTGAGTATTTGAGTGGTTGCAATAACCCAATGTGTTTTGTATTTTGAATACATGTGTTTTCCAAATGGCAGCCTCAGATTTCATATTTGAACAAAGTGTCTTATGTATGAAATAGAGTGTAGTATGAAGGAGGAAGTGTGTTGGAGAATTGCAACTAGAGTGCAAAGCAACTCTTTTGTTTAAAGTATGGGTACATGTGTAGGGATGCTAACAAAAGCTTCAAGTTGTGTTACTTTAGCATGGGTCTATAGTGTTCAAGCAATGGGCAAAAACTGTAAATCATATTAGTGTAATTGACTTTAAAGCAAAGCTGATTAATCTTGTCTTCATATATTCAGGGTCAGTTCTGTCGTTCAAACTCTTAGTGGAGGGAATTTCAGGGTCAAATCAAACTCTGTGAACATCAACAGAGCCTTACAGTTTTTTTTACAATCACTTTGTTACTATTTTCAGAACCATGATGTCATTTTTCCTCGAACCATGCCTTTGGAAGCCCCTTAAGATATACCTGCTTATGTACGCCGTTACCCGGTGCGGTCCGTGGCGATGGAGCTGAATTTGTTGATATCGATGGCTCAAGAATGAATTATTCTCTCGTTCGGGGGCTGCTTCACTGCGTTATGTGACAAAGCGATGTTCTTTTTAAAAGAAGCACGTCAGAAATAGTGGAAACTGCATTTATTTGGACTCATTGGATATAATAAAAATTACAAATTGCAAACTAAATTAAACCCTGGATATTTAATTTAATTTAGGAAAGAGTGAGCGAACGCACAACCTCGTGCTCAAACGTGTCATGCATCAGCATCTCACCCACTACAGTAACTGTCTGTGTGCTTTCATTGCCGTAGAAAGGGCGACTTATATTATCTTAATATATTTGTTATAATTCTTTATTTACTTAAAATAATTATTTATTATTTGCATGACAACATTTGAATTAGCCGAATTGAACACTGGGTGTATTAAATTTAAAATAATATTCGTACACACTAAGATGTAAAGAAGCTTTTTGCAGTGGTGCCCACTATAGAAGCTTATGTTCGATTTGAAATGTAATATGCAAAATGACAATGCAATATGTAAAATGGCATTGCATTTTGTATTTAAATTTACATTTTACATTACCATTCTAACAACGTTTGGTGCAAAATGAAAATGAAATTACATCATTTACATTTGCCATTTCATACACTAGTTTTAATATGCATATTGAAACACTTTAGAAGTGGCAAAATTAAAATGAAAATGCATTACAGAGATGCTTATATGTGTCACGTGTTCAAGCAAAAACTGTGGCAAAATGATCATTCAAATGTTATTTTTCTGAATTGCATTTACACTCGCAGTCAAGACACTTGCGATTGCATTTTCATGAAATGTCCCGCAACGGATGTAGCAAAATTCATGTGCACTTTGAAAATGCATTCCGAGCCGACCACGCCCCCTCCTGGCCTGTCAATCACTGCATCACAGCGGGCCTCGGCAACAACAGGTAAACATGGAATAATTGATTCTTGAGCCATCGATAAACAAATTCAGCTCCATCGCCTCGGACCGCACCGGGTAACGGCGTAGGCTACATAAGAAGGTATATCTTAAGGGGCTTCCAAAGGCATGGTTCGAGGAACACACCTAGAAATGGTATACCTTCAGTTAAGTTAAGAGACAACTTACTTACCTTACCTTAAGAGACAACGTTATCGGGACACTCAGCCCTGAAGTGTCTGTCTGTCGGGCTACACTCTCGTTCACATCACAGATACAACACCTTTCTGAAATTTGTTAACAATGAGAAAACCCACTGACACATGATGTGTCTGAATGTGGATCCTTTTCTATCTCATAATCATTTATGGTTTTTTTTTCAGTTTAATGAGGAACTGGTTT